TCTTCTTTATTCTTTGCACTCTTTGGCAAAATGACAGTACTGAACGTTGAATCTTTTTTGGGACGCGCCATGCAATCCAGTTCCATCCAGAATCGTAGTGGTGCTATGGATGCGACTAATTCAATAAAATGAGTTGCGGGGCAAGTCGTTGTACAACACTTTTGTTCTTCCAGACTGGCAAGGTACCAATCAAGTGCCCGGAGTGATTTTAGGCTTGATTTGCGCTTACCACTAATCATTACTGCCCCTTGACAGATTAATACGCTGCACTCCATCTAACACTTAAAGCTACACAATTGTAGGAAGCGTCATTGCCACACAAGACTTTATTCCACTGCCTCTATCGAGAAACTGTATCGTAGCTTCACAAGAATGCTGGGTTGTGAACAAAACTTTCGCCCCAGGCGGGACTAGAACCCGCACCTCTCGCTTTCCGGGCAAGTGCGCTACCAGTTACGCTACCGGGAGAACCCAGCGTTCTTGTGAAGCTTCACAAAACAAACCGTGGCCAAAAACAGCAGTTATCAATCAAAAACAGGTATAGCGTTTCTCTCCTATAAAGGAAGAAAAGGATTAGTAAAATTAAAGAGTTTGTGATACGGTTGCGCACGGCTATGGCTGAATAACTTAATACCCGTGAAAGGCGCTCTTTTGCCGATGGGTTTGGTTAGCCAGGGCATGACCGTTTATGGTAGTGGCGTTCCTCTTCGCTAGGGCGCTCAAGATGAGCGACCCAAACTTAAAGGATTACTTCATTCAGTAAAAAATCCTCGTTTTGTAGATTAAAAAATGAAAGGCAACCGCATAACTGTGCAAAATACAAGTACTGCTAAGCCGGTGAAGTGTATCCAAAGACTTATCAGCGCTTTTGGAACATAAGCCTCTTTGGTACTAACGGTACGGAGTTTTCGAGATACTATTCACTTGTTAATCAGATAACTTACCAATAGTTGCTTCCTTATCAGTCTTATTGGTGGACATCAAATAACAGTTTGTTGAGTTGACGTCATAATTAACAGCTCCACACTTTTTTGGTGAGCTCATACAGGCAGTCAAACAGCCTATCAACAGTGTGATCTGGAAATCGGAACATCACAGAAATGTATAGCTATTCTTATTGGAATATCTAAATTTTCACTCTTAATATTTCAATTCTCTCCTTAGGAATCACCGTGAAATTCCTTACGTGCTCAACCGCGCTCGCATACCGTCTTAAGAGATCGAAGGATGAACTGTGGAGGGCTGAATGCGATTTCTTGTGATGCCGTCAAAGCGTTAGTGCTTCAAATAAAACGTCACCCACACACCAGCGCGTTGCTTTAATTGCCCGATTCGCAGAGATTAAGACGCAGCATATGAACTTTCCAAATGACTTGAGGTCATCCAAAAATTTTAGCTCGCGCTAGCTCTGGGCACTTAAGGGTGATCCTTGAGGTTTGAAACGCTTGTTCAACTCTGAGAGCTTTTTCTGCAAGTCGAAGGTCTTTCAGGGTGTGCCGAGCTTTTTCAAAACGGTCTTTTGCATGATATAGAGGCACATGCGGGAACCACAGAACCATGGTTAATTTTTCCTGAACGGCCCTCTGAATACCAGAAAAGGGGGTCCCTAGTCACACCTTTTTCCAGTTTTTCAATCAAAGTCTATTTGTAAGGGTTACTGACGTTCCTAATCATGAACATACGAGTGCGTTTCAAAAGTATGTGCACACCCTCAAAATTCACGTTTGAAAGGGAACCATGAGGTTTCGTGCTATGAAATCCTTCTCAATCGATTTCTCGTAGTCGATAACCTATCAATGGAAGCAAAGCAGATAATATCGCTTCACTTTCGAAAGAAAAATTTTGGATGAAATTTTTTTCTTTGTTTCAAAAGTATGTGCACACTTAACAAAAGACAAAAACATAGCTGAGATTAGAAATCAGTGGGGCCTCCAGAGTTTCTAATTAGCTCAAACATCCTGTCCGGCATAATCTGAACCACGTTTGGCATAGCTGTTTCGTCGCTGTCGGCCCAAATAGCCTCTACCGCCGCCTTCAGTTCATCCGCGGTATTATACTGCCGGTTGCTAAAGTTAACGCCTTGATCAAGGGCTCCCTATAGGGTTGCAGTAAGGAGGACACACAAGCCAATCTATCGCTTCAGCACCATTTGGTTAAGGCCATTCTTTGGTAGATTGCGAAGCATCGAAAGACACGTGGTCCTGTTGCTAAAAATGCAATTTTCGCTCCGCTTCGCTAAGGAAGGGCAACAGGTGACATTTGGAGCACTGCTTGGTATTCTTTACAGTTCATACGCAATAATGGAACGGCAACTTCTGAATTTCCGCTGATTGCGAAACCGCCGCAGACCCATCAACGGGCCTCTTCCGAAATTCCTTCTCGAGAGCACGAGCGACTCACGGCCAAGCCTCTCCAGTAGTAGCAAAATCCACCCGGCCCGTCAAGATCGAACTCTTTCCATGAGTTAAGATTACCTGAGGAGAGAAAGTCCATAAAAAGTTGCTTGTTTTGAAAATAGGAAATTCTCGAAAAACCGTGTCTTCGCCCGGTGTCCTATCCTATGTTGCCATGTCTGTACGAGCAGACTCCAATGTGGCTAACTTGTGCTGGGCCTTGAAGTGAGTAGCCTTTCCTCAGCGTCTGTCGAGTGGTGTATTCATTTGAGCGGATGAGGGACTTAGTGGTTCATTTTCGAGGCTGGAATAAAAATCTGAGCTCGGACTGTCAATGAAGAATCCGACAGGATGTGGGCTACTCTTTTGTTGTTCTGAGCAGTCAAGGATCGTGGATGGAGCGGAGTGTGTGCTGAGTATAATTATCAGGGTGCCAGATAAATCTTCGAATGCATTAAGGAGAACGACCAAGTTATCGTGCGATTTCTAGATTGGAACGTTCATTATCATGCAGAACCTTGATCTGAGCTTGCTCATCTTCAGGAAGAAGTATGGCGCGAATTGACATGATGACGAAATGAAAACAGCAAAGTCGGATTGAAATCGGTGGAAAATTCGGCGCCAAAATCTGATCTTCTTCAAGTGTGCACATACTTTTGAAACAAAGAAAAAATTTCATCCAAAAATTTTTTCGAAAGTGAGGCGATATTATCTGCTTTGCTTCCATTGATAGGTTATCGACTACGAGAAATCGATTGAGAAGGATTTCATAGCACGAAACCTCATGGTTCCCTTTCAAACGTGAATTTTGAGGGTGTGCACATACTTTTGAAACGCACTGTATAAGGACAGCGAAGTAACATCATTCGCTACTAATGTTTACTAACTGAGTGTAGTATTTCGCTACACTTTGCGGTGGAACAAGGTGAGCTGAGCTTTTGTGTTCTGGAATTTTCCGTGCGTCCCTGACAGGACGTCAGAAACGCTAGAAGGGATGAGGCGTTTGATAGGGTAGTGTGCACTTCTTAAGCTTTGAGCCATGTTCAGGCCTTGAAAACGACGGAACGGTCGAAACGTTGGCCAGAATAAATCTTCCACCTTAACAACCTCAAGGCAGAAGTACAATCAACAATTACAATAAAAGTATAATATGTTAAAATTTTGGTGCTTCAGAAACACATTAGGCCTCGCCTCCCATACCGGCAACGAGCTCTTCATATCAATCCAAGGAAAAGACCGTACTTCGGCATTCTTGAAGTGTGCTACATGACAGTTTTTTAAGGTGATGATCTTCTCGAATGAATACGGCCTATTGCAGAGCGATGCGGCATCGGTGTCTTCGGCACAGAACGGCTCGTACAAGTCGAGATTCTGTGACGACACTGCCATGTCTGACGATTCATCCGACACAAAGCATTGGTTTCGTGAGGGGATCAAACTGTAACGCGAAAACCAGATTGTACAGAGAACATATGGTGAAAATGGAATTTGGGGTACTCACTATTTTCTTATCCTTGGTACTAAAGAGAACTTCTTTGGGCCCTCTTCTACTAAGGACAAGATGATGCATAAACTACTCATTTGAAATGTATATTTGAGAAGAACCGGTGAGTAGCTTTCATCCCCTTCTGTTCAAATTCTATACGATTTTTTGCACCTGGTCGTCCACCCTGGAGTGCCTCAACCCTCACCATTAGTCCAGGGCAAATCCATTCCCCTGGTCGGTACCGTTTTCTTGGATCCTTGCAGGCCGTAATGTAAAAGCAGTTAGGGGGGGGGTTCTACGCTACACCGGTACTTATCAAAAGTATATTTCGTAACTGTCTTGAAGCTAAGGCAATACTGAATGAGACTCGGAGAGCGAATGTTAATGTGAAATGGGAGAAGGAATCAGAGACCGCCTACTCGATGTGCGTGCTGGACCAACCGTCGCAGTAGATCGATTATGAAATTTTGCGAGTACCCTCCGAGAGTCATCCTACCATACCCATACTCAGCAGCACTGAAGGCTCATTACTGGCATTTTTCGTAGAAGTCGAAAATATCCAACCGGTTCTCAAAGTGATCGGTCTCCTACAAACACGACTCCTTCAACTTGCACAACCCCCATGATGGCTGATGGCCTTCCCAAAAGACCCTGGTGAGCCTCTAGCCGACCTCCTCCTTCCAAAAACCCAAACATAACCCTGTGCCGTCTGGATTTTTCTAACGTGCGGTTTACCCTGTACATGTCATTCAAGGGAATCGTGTCCTTCATTTCGGACACCCACTAACCCTGAATTTATCATCGTAGCCATTACAGAACAATGGGACTGAGTTACCTGTAATGACCGACAGTGGAACAAGGCGGTATCGATACATTCCTTCATACATTCTCGAAGGCTTTTCACTCCAACCGACACTCCAAACGAGGGTACATCGGCTTGTTTGACGAAAATAAACTTGACGCGACTCCCTACTGGACATCGTGACGACGCTATAAATATGAGCAATAATTGCGACAGTTTCTTCTTTTTTCACAGTTGGTCTAAAATTTCAATTGCACGTAGCTTATCCAATACATACGGGGGGGGGCAATAAAAAAAAGACATTTTGTCTCCAGACTCAAATGGATTTAATCACACTTTGCTCAGCTCAAAGCGTGTGCTCCCAACTTAGAATTGAAGAGCGCATTTCATTTCATAAGAAAATCTTCATAGTGGCCATCTACGTGGACGGCATCAGAAAAGTTTGCCCCGGAAACATGGTGCTCTGGTCGAGCTCAATGGGGTTCTCGACTGATCGTGTACCGTTACGACGGGTTCCGAAAGGGCCGGGTTCGAGGGGGTTTGCATAGTTAGAGCTAATGTTCCCTAGAAAACTATCCCACGTTGAATCGATCCAAGAAATTTTGTAAGAGCTTCAGGC